AGAATCCTAAAAAATGAAAGCAACACACCACACCACACCACACCACTACCCTGCTAGAAGCAAAATCAAAACAAAACACATAAAACAGGACAAACAAACCCACCGAAAACTTAGATGATTGCCCTCTGGTTGAGATGACCAACGAAGACTCAGTTGAATCCTTGCATTTCTCGAAAACAAGCTTGGTTCTCTTGGCTTTTGGAACTTAGGACTAAAGTCGTAGATGTCCAATAACAGTGGAGCCAAGTTCCCATGGAAAATCTTGTTCACCAGCTACCTGGAAATACAAAAATCAAGAAGACAGGATATTATACAACGTCGTACATGTTGATAGCATGCAAGATGGCCAGAGCTCGAGTGTTTCTCTTATTCATGGTTGGATTACGCTGACCACAGAGCCTACTTGTTGATCGTGAGCCAAGATATATGTAATACAACAAGTGAGCTACTGTAGAATTCAAGACACATTATTGTATCTCTAACTGTGATGGAAATTATAGAGGATTGATACTTTTAAATTAGGCATATAAAAGTTTGTAAAATGGTAATTAGAATAAAAGAGTAGCAAAATAGACTGGAAACAGGGTGAAATTGAATGGCATAAGAAGACAACTGAAAGAAAGAACATAATGCAATCCAAGAATAAAAGGGAAAATAAATACTCAAGAGCTCGAGCAGTTGATGTCAAAGAGTTGTCCTAATGTAATCGTGTAGAATTGATTTTGCAGTGTTGGCCTTTGCTTTGATAGTATTGTAGCAACTTGTTGCATGGTTGGCCGAGACAGTGGAGTGGTGTGTAGACATGCAAATGCTAGTTTCGCAACAACAACTATTTGCTCTGCCACTTGATTCCTTGGAGGTAGGAGGCGTTGGTCCAAGACGTCCTTCAAAAATATCCCTTGCGCAGTTGATGTTGATGATGAGGACGAGGATGACGATAAAGAGGAGATTAGATCACCCGGATGCTTCCCCATAATCACTTCCAATGCTAGCACCCCAAAACTATAAACATCGCACTTCTCATTCACTTCCATTGTAAAAGCAAGTTCTGCCCAAAATTAAAAATGCCCAACAACAGAAAACAGTTTAATAAAGAAAATGTGGAAAAGAAAACAAAAATGCTCCTGGCCCATTTCCAGACATTGATTAAATTGCTTGGAATTCTTTGATAAAGGATGCGAATAGTTTAGGGTTCCAAAAGAAGGAAATTATATAAATGCTTGATGAATGCCAATGCTGAAATTCAGAATATGAAAACTTGAGAACCATGAATATCTTAAAATAGGATAGTTAGTTCATTGAAGCAACTACCTACCTTTCCATACAAGATTTTCAAGACATCAATAGGATTGTTAGTCACCAATATTAACTAAAGTCTTTCAAGTGTTATTAGTCTTTCTAATTTGATGACCAACCTAAACAATTTGAGAGAAATAAAGAATTAATGAAAGTTTGCTCATTGCCAAATTTTAACAGTAGAAATATAAGTTTTTGAAGCAAAGAACTATATATAGTGGCTTTTGAAGGACTGTTCACAAGTGCAAGGATGGATGCATGATTTTAATCATAGGGGGCGAACTTATAATCAAGGAGAAAAAAATACTATGTGGGTTGCTTAGTTTGGATAATTTTCCCTAACAAAAATGTGCATTTTGTAGTCACTATAGACATAGGTAAAGTTAAAAGATGACGATTCAATCTATTGACAAGAGGATAAATTATAGACTTTCTTGCTTTACAAACACTTTGGCACAACTGAAATATTATTAATAATTTTTGAAATTCGAAATGTCTAATTTTTTAACTGGAATTTCAAATGTAAATTAAATTTACATGTAAGCTTGCAAATATCTTTAATTTTGAAAAATCAATCATTTTTTTTTAGATCAATTTTTTTAATTCTTGTAATTGAGTATCGCATGTAATTGTAAAATGTCAACTCGAAAATGCTCAATGGTAATGTGATCTCTTTGTTGGCAAGTACGACTTCCATCGAATGTAATTAAGTTGAAGAAGAAGAAGAAGAAGAATAAAGAAAGACAGAATTTAAATACAGAAATAAGAAAAGGAGGAAGAATTGAAAGTATAAGTTGTTTTAAAATAGAGATGGAGAAGAGGAATAAAAAGTGAAAATGGAAATTGAGTTCTGGGCAGAATTTAAATAACAATAAAGATAGGAAAAAATTGAGGAAAGAGAAGAACAAGAAGAGAAGAGGAGAACCGAAACAAACAGGAAGAATAAGAGGCAGAGAGAGAAAGGAAACCTAGAGTTAGAAGGGTAATGATTGAAACATAGCACTGCAAATCGACATAAAGAAAATCAATAAAATCTTGGAGGGGTGAGCGTATATAATTTATAAATATTGATAACTAATACTACTATATTTAAGGAGTTATTTCAAAATTTTGGGGTGGCGGTCGCCCTGCCAACCCCCTCGACCCATCCCTGTACAAGTGGTAGGTCATTAGAGTGGGCCAAAGTCTCAACTATAACCATAAACACCAAAATAAAGGAAACACATAGAATCCTGCTAAAATAATCATTTTCTTAAATGAACATTAAACAAAAGAGTTTTTATTTTTTACTTTTTGGTAAACCTTGACGACATAAGGAGAAATTTATTAATAATTTAAAATCGAGAGGGGTAATGAGCCTTATCTCTCAAGAAATAGAAGAAAAAAAATATTCATGCAAAAAAATGGGTAAATTACACTTTACATCCTTATATTTTACATTTAATCTCACCTTACCTTCTAACCTTTTAATTGTTTTAGTCAACCCTTTAGACTTCGAGTCAAATTGGAATTGGGCCCATTTGTATAACCTTGTTTCAAAAACTAACAAAGATTAGTCATTTGATAGAATTAATTACAATTAGCACCCCTGCACTTTTATCAAAATCTCACTTTATTCCTTATCAACTTGTATTTTTACCAAAATCTCATTTTAAGAAAATGTTAGATGCTTAGGCCCAATTGAAACTGGACTTGAAGTCTAGGGGCTGACTGAAATAATTTAAAAGTCAAGGGGCAAAGTAATAAATGGTGTAAAGTATAGGGATACAGTGTAATTTGGTCCAAAAAAGAATCAACACTAACAAACTTGAATATATATATATATATATATAAAGTACCGAACCTGTCTAAAGCCACAACAGGCTTAACCAATCTACAAGGCTCTTAAAAAGTAGAGAGATAAGAATTATTATCACAACCCCAATTAGTTAACACATCTGCAACTCTATTTACTTACTTCAGTGCATATTTTTCATCTAAAATGGCTTTACATCATACATGAGAATTTAAAGGTATGCATATTAGAAACAAATGGAATAACAAGCTTAAATCTAGCAATTTGTCATCATTAGTAAGTCAAAATGAACAAATACTACATGGGTAATTTAATTGGAAATAAATCATTGCAATAGAAAAATATATACCAGGAGCAGCATAACCAAAGGTCCCAGCAAATGAAGTCCAATTGGATGAGTTGAGATTCATAAATCTAGCTGTGCCAAAATCAGATATGTGAGCCACATACTCGAAATCAAACAAAACATTCTTACTTGATATGTCTCGATGGATGATTGGTTGAAAACAATCATGGTGCATATAAGACAGAGCATTTGCCACACCTTTAACAGTGTTCACTCTCTTAATCCAATCAAAGACTACTATATCATCGTCCATACTCAGCACCTTTCCCAAGCTTCCCCCTTCCAAGAACTCATAAACCAAAAACGAGTGCCTTGGGTGTGAACAATAACCGTACAGCTTTACAATGTTGTGATGCCGAATCTCAGTTAATGTGCGGATCTCACTTGTAAACCCTTTTAGATTAGCCGAGTCATCATCAAGTTTTGCATGAAGTTTCTTCACAGCAACTACTTGACCATTTGGTAGGTCAGCTCTATAAACGGTACCACATCCTCCCTCTCCAACACAATATTTGGCACTGAAGTTCTCAGTGACTTCAATGATGTTTTCATAGACCATTTTTCCATCATAGCTCCATATTGCAAAAACATTATCATGGTTTACTCGTGACTGCTCGTTTTTTGTGTTCGTCACTTTCTTACGAAAAGCCATGAAAATGCCAAGAACCATTAGCAAAAGAAACAAAATTCCAAAAACAAGAAGTATAGTTAGTAACATAACTTTCTTGCCCTTTTTTTCAACATCCCCGTTGTTCAATTTTGTCAAGCAAGCCTTCAGACCAGTAGCATTACCACATAAACCTTTATTACCTTTGAGTGCCTCGAATGGAGCCTCTTGGAAGGCCTTGATGTCAGGCAGAGGACCCTCTAACTGATTGTATGACACATCAATTGAAGTAAGACTTACCATTTTATTGAAAGATGATGGTATAGAACCAAAGAACTCATTGTGGGAGAGATTCAACGTTTCTAAGCTTTGCAATTCTCCAATCTGTTGTGGTATCTTACCAATTAGCAAGTTACTACCAAGATCAAGACTTTGAAGAGTGTTGATCTGGCCTATTTCAATAGGAATGCTTTCCCCAAATCTATTATTGCTCAAATTCAAGTTCCAAAGTTTCTTGCACTCTCCTAGTCTTCTAGGGATTGAGCCACTTAGATTATTTACTGCCAAGTTAAGAAACCTAAGATTCGACAGTTTGCTGAATTCTAGAGGAATGTTGCCTGATAGTTGGTTATCATTCAGCCTAAGGTCGAACAATGAAACCAACCTTCCTAATTTCAATAAGATCTCTCCAACTAAATGATTCGAAGAAAGGTCAATGACAGATAGTTGAGTTGCCTCTACCAATTCAGGTGGTATCTCACCAGAAATATTATTCCTAGACATTTTGAGACTAGTTATATTGTGGCATTTTCCCCATTTTTTAGATAGCTCACCGTAGAAATTGTTGCGACTCAAATCAATGTAATCCAAGTTTGGGTATATGCCAAAATCTTCTGATATATTTCCCGACAGTTGGTTTCCTTCAAGCCTGACTCTATGTAGGCTATGGCAATTTTTCAAGCTTTTTGGGATGGGACCTGTGAGATTGTTATCATCTGCAGCAAAACGTGTAAGTAATCCACTAGAGCATAGGTTTTCTGGTAAATGACCAACGAGCTTGTTGTAACCTATCTGAAACCATTTCAAATGTGTAAGATTGTTCAATCTTGGAGGAATAGAGCCAGTGAGTTGGTTATCAACGAATGACAAATAACCAAGTTGTTTTAAATTTCCTATCTCTGAAGGAATGGAGCCTGATAATGGATTTAGACTTAAATCTAATGTATTCAACTTTGTCAAGTTTCCAATTGTCGAAGGAATGAGTCCTGAAAGCATATTTCGATTGAGGAACAAAGTGGTTAACATGCCTAAGTTTCCTATAGATGCAGGGATTGAACTAGTGAGGTTGTTCATTTCGAGTTCGAGACCAACGAGAGACCTCAGCATCCCAACTTCTTGAGGGATTGATCCAGAAAGTTGGTTGTCAAAAAGGTGCAGAGTGGTTAAGTTGCCTAAGTTCCCTATAGATGCAGGGATTGAACCCGTGAGGTTGTTCATTGAGAGTTCGAGATCAATGAGAGACCTTAGCATCCCAATTTCTGGAGGGATTGATCCAGAAAGTTGGTTGTCATAAAGGTACAAAATGGTTAAGTTGCCCAAGTTTCCAATTGAAGAAGGGATTGAACCCGTGAGATTGTTAGTATACAAGGCAAGCTCATTGAGAGAGCTGAGAAATCCTATTTGCTGAGGGATGGAGCCACCGATTGGGTTTCTATTCAGGTACAAGAACCTTAGATTAGTTAGTTGGCCTATTTCGGTCGGAATTGTTCCAGAGAGATTGTTGAGAGACAAGCTAAGGTAGGTGAGTCTCCAAAGGCTACCAATATGGGAGGGGATGGTCCCATAAAGTGAGTTATTAAAAAGTCGAAGTTTTAGGAGATGAGGGAAGCATGAGAAATTAAGATTAGAAAGAGTACCTTTCAAACCATAACTGTGAAGGTCTATATGGGCAACTCTACCGGCCTTGTTGCAACGAATTCCAAGCCAACTGCAATGGTTGGTTCCAACCCAGGAGGACAGAAGAGTTTGAGTTTGGTCGTGAAGGGTAGCTTTCCACGTCATGAGAGCCGTGGGTTCAGTTGTTTGTTTTCCAGTTAAGGAAGAAGCAAAAGCAACATAATCAAAAAAAGTGGGGAATGCAAAGATGATGAGGCAGAGTAAAAGGGGTGGGAAAGAAAGAAAGTGGTTGGGAAGTGTATTGGGCAAGAATGTCATTGTAGGCTTGTTTGTTATTAATAGAATAGAAAGCTATGAAAGACAGTAATAGGATGGAGGGATGAAGAGCTGCAAGTTTATAGATAATACAACTTGGAAACTCTAATTTAGTTTTAGAATTATGATTTAAATGTGATTTAAGTGTAAAATTATGAGTTGAATTTTGAAAAGAGCAAATTTGTTTGGTTATGAGTTTTGAAAAATGTTTTTAAATTTTAAATTTTGAAAAGAGTTTTGAGTTATATTTTGAGTTTTGAGTTTATAAATTTTGAATTGTATTTTGAATTTTTTTGATTTATTTTTTTAAAATATTAAAAAATGTTTAAGAAAAATTTATTTTTTATTTTAAATATATGATTTTTAGTTAAAAAATTTTTATTTTAAATATTTTATTTTATTTTGTAAATATTTTAATTTTTTAAATTTTAATATTTTAAACTCAAAAACACAATTCCATACTTAAATTGTAACCAAACATATAACTCAAAACTCAATTCAAAAATTATTTTGAAAACTCATAACTAAACACATAACTCGATACTCCACATTACTTTCAAAATTCTATACTCAAATCGTAATCAAATGCATAACAAAAAATAAAATAAAATATTGAAAAATATATTTATAAATTAAAATAAAATATTTAAAATAAAAATTATATATTTAAAATAAAAAATAAAATTTTTAATTTTTTTTAAAATTTAAAAAAATACAGCACATAAATGTATGAAATATAGTGCACATTAAAATAAATAAATAAATATTTAAAATATAGAATATTTATCCTAAAAAAATAAAATTAAGAATTATTTTTAAATATTTTAAAAAATAAATCCAAAAAAAATTCAAAATACAACTCAAACCTCAAAATAGAACTCAAAACTCTTTTCAAAATTCATTATCAAACAAATTCTCGTTTCAAAACTCAATTCAAAACTCATACTAACTCAAAATACGATTCCACACTCAAATCATGATTCTAAAAATAAAATAAAAAATATTTTTTTGAATTTATGTAATTAATTATTTGTAATTTTTTTTTTAGTCTGTTGACTTATTAGTGCAAATTGTCGTTTTGATGTATAATAATGGAGTTTTCCTTACGTCTGTTGACAATTATATGCCTCCAACACCCCACTTTTGACAATTATATGCCTCCAACACCCCACTTTTTGAATATGTACACCTCCAACACCCCACTTTTGACAATTATATGCCTCCAACACCCCACTTTTGACAATTATATGCCTCCAACACCCCACTTTTGACAATTATATGCCTCCAACACCCCACTTTTGACAATTATATGCCTCCAAAAATACTCTATTGTAAAAAAAATAAAATTTCAAACTACTCTATTGTACAATAATAAAATTAGCTGAATTATTAATTGAAATATATTTATAATATCATTAAAAATTATTAATTAAATTAATAAATTATTGATAAAAGGATCATTTGTTATGAAATTATAAATTTCAAGGAGTCGTAATCGTCATCAAAGAGATCACATTACCACTGAACATTTTTTCTGGTTGATATTTTTATAGTCACATGTGATACCTAATCACAAGAATAAAAAAAACCGATGTAAGGAGGATGTGATAAAATTATTTGCTCTTAGTTATGCTGCAGATCCTGTGGAAAGTTATAGGTTTTTCAAAATTAAAAATATTTGCAAAGGTTGCAAGTAAATTAAAGTTCCATTTGAAATTTTAATTGTAAAATTATGAGATTGACATTCTAGACCTCTCAAGTTTTAAAAACTGTAAATTACTTTTTAATTAAGCCAAGTGTATGTGAAAACGAAAAAGTTAACAATTTATCTTCTCATTATTGGATTGATATTATTTTAACTCTGTTTCTATATTGATAATAAAACGCACATTTTAAACAATGAAAATTATCAAAACTAAATTGCACAAATAACAATTTTGCAAAATTGATAGTGCTCCAAGTGCAAATTTGATGATAGTGCTCAGAGTCAAAATCAAAACACTGGTGATTAGTCCTTTGACAATAAAAAAATTATTCCATATTTCATGTGACGTTATTACAAACCAATCCATGTTATTTATTTGTGTAGGATCAGTGCTCGATGCTTCCTGATCCTTGTAGAAGTTTAGCTTCAATAGATTTTGGCTTAATGCTTATTTTAGACTCCCACTTAGATAGAGATAAACTCCTTTATCTATATCCAGACTGAGGTCCTCCTCTATTCTAGGACTCTTGTCCCTTATCCGCTCATCTCAAATTCCAATATTTCCAAATATAACCTCAGCCTAGTCGAGATCATCTCGCACATGACCACGCCACGTGGCACTCTGGCTGACACGTCGGCATCACCACGCCCACGTGTTGTCATTCACAAAATATACCCCCACAAAGAGGAACAATACCTTTAATAGTTGCTATAGTAATGTTTGGATGGCTGTCAACCACAACATTACGGCACAGCCGTGCAAAACTCAATCCCAATTTTTTCATATGTAAATTTTCTCATATGTAATAATAAATTTTTTTTCATAAGAACTTCCCACTTTTTGGCAATTTCCTTTTATTATTATTATAGGTAGACTTGACTTGACTTTTCGCGGTGGACCATAAATCACAGATGCAAAGTCGAATTATCTGCTACAAATTACCAAATGTGTTGGTGCATTTTAATAGTTAGAGCAAATTATAAATATATTTATTGGGATATATTTAAAATATTAATTGTGTGTGATAATTTTGAAAATTATGTTGTGTGTTTTTAAATTCTTAATTGCATAATAGATGACTTCTTTTGTTAATAAATTATTAAGTTATAAATAATTTTTAAACAGAAATATATTTCAATTAATATTTTTAGTAATTTTATAATTATATAGGAGGATAGTTAGAAATTGCTCTTTTTATATTAATTTTGTTAAATAACAAATTGTAACGAGAAATATTTCTAATTTTTAAAATTACAAAGAACAATATATATTTTACGAAAATCTCAAAACCAATTTAGATTAAAGAAACACGATCCGTTGTGCGCCTCACTAGCGGAAAAGCACCTTTTAGACTGTGGGAAGCCTGACCCTTATATAAAATAGGGTTGGGCTTTTTTTCTAATATGGAGAAGTATGTTGTTTAGGCCCATGGAGATCCCCAAGCATCCTGTTTTCCAATAATCCAAATCATTTATCTTATGAAATCTTTCATGTATATCATTCGCACCAAAAAATTAAGTTAATTTGATAATCATAATATGTTCAATTTATCTTCTTTTTTTTAAAAAAAAAAAAACAAATAGACGATAAGTATGTTTTTGAAAATAGACTTTGGTGACAAACACAATATATTGAACAAATTATGATTATCAAATCGATCTAACTTTTAGTGTAGATGATATACATGGATGCTCCTACAAAATGAGCAGTTCATATCATCAAAATGGAACCTATAGTGAGCCTCACAGACTCGAACTTTAAGAATTTATAATATCTATATATATCAAGAATTAAAATGCCATAATAATATAATTAAAACTAAACAGTTAAAATAGATTTAAATACATACTATTGAATCTCGTCATCACCATGAGATATTAAGGAATGATATTCACAATTGAAAAACCCTAGCGTTGGCTCTTCCCCTCCTTATCTTTATGTTGTCTTTCAATGGGACTGACAGTCCTTTGATCCACGTATATATAAATACATGTGAACTCTAATAGGATAGGAGAGGAGACCGGACCTAAATAAAACAATTACTGGCCTCTCGCATAAAGGAATCCAAATAACTTAAAATAGGCCTTATACCTTCGTACCACATATCCACATATAAAATAATAAACACACTAAGATGGACTATGGCCCAAAATTTTATGGATCACAATGCCAATTTTGTTCTCGTATCAGTCAATCTGTCTAAATTATTCTCAACCTATTTTTCACAGACCAAACAAAATATAGTCAATGATATCCTAATTAAGAATAAATTCTTACACGAGCAACACCTTTCAATTCAAGATCAAAACTCAAGAGAAGCTAGACCTATAAAATAATTTTAGTTATACATATTAGATGGTAGAATCTATTATATAGTACTGCTTGACTCAAATTACTTCAACTATATTTTATGTAATTAATTATTTGTAAATTTTTTTTTAGTCTGTTGACTTATTAGTGCAAATTGTCGTTTTGATGTATAATAATGGAGTTTTCCCTACGTTCACGGCATGCAGTCGGGGAGAACCTTTCAATCCATCCATAATTCGCAACATTAATCCGTCGTGCAAAGAGGGCAAGAAAATCATACCTAAATGTTTATGCTGCCCTGCCCCCAGTAGACTTGGCTTTGATTATTCAAATTTGGACAATTATATGCCACCAACATCCCACTTTTCGAATATATACACCATACATTATACATAAAAGATTGGGGAAATTTATGTATAAGTGTAGTTTTTTTTATAAAAAAAAAAAAAAAAATCAAATTAATGAAAAACTTTAGAGGAAATTACAAATGCATCATTTGAGATTTATTTAAAATAGGATTCCCTTTATGGTTTGAAAAATTACAAATAAGCCATTGTAAAAATAACTATTTAATAGAATTAATTAAAAAATAAATAAAATTTCAAACTACTCTATTGTACAATAATAAAATTAGCTGAATTATTAATTAAAATATATTTATAATATCATTAAAAAATATTAATTGAATTAATAATTTATTGATAAAATGATCATTTGTTATGAAATTATAAACTTCAAGGGGTCGTAATCATTATCAAAGAGATCACATTACCATTGAACATTTTTTCTGGTTGATATTTTTATAGTCACATGTGATACCTAATCACAAGAATT